GCAGGGCTGATCAGGGGGTTGGGGCGCCACACTCTGTCACACACAGAGCCGCAGGGCAATCAGGAGGTTGGGTAGCTCCCCCGTATCAGGCACAGAGCAGGGCTGATCAGGAGGTTGGGGCGCCTTCCCCTGTCAGACACAGAGCCACAGGGCGATCAGGGGGTTTGGGCGCTGGCCCCTGTCACGCTGATCCTGGTGCTGGGAGGCCTCTCGGCTCCGCTGATCCTGGTGCTGGGAGGCCTCGCAGCTCTGCTGATCCAGGTGCTGGGAGGCATATTACCCTTTTACTATATAGGATAGAGGCCTGGTGCATGGGTGGGGCTGGCTGGTTTGCCCTGAAGGGTGTCCTGGATCAGGGTTGGGGTCCCCACTGGGGTGCCTGGCCAGTCTGGGTGAGGGGCTGAGGGCTGTTTTCAGGCTGGCGGGTGACGGAAGCTCCCAACTGCTTTTTTTCTTTTTTTTTTTTTAATTATGGGCCAGCTTTAGCTCTGGCTCCAGCTCTGAGGCCTCTGCTGCTGAAAGCAGGTATCTGGTTTGTTTGGGTTCTATAATCGAAACAATGTATAACTCCAGCTCTGAGATCCCGGCTCGCTGAAAGCAGGTTTCTGGGGTTTTGTTTAGCTTCTATATTTGTTACAATGTTTCTTAAACTGCAAACTCAGAGGCCGGCAGCGGCAGGCGGGGAACGTTGGAGTCCTCCATCACTGAAGCAAGCAAGCCTCATGTTAGTTTCAAGCTGCCTGGCTGCCAGCTGCCATCTTGGCTGGCAGTTAATTTGCATATTGCCCTGATTAGCCAATGGGAAGGGTAGTGGTCGTACGCTAATTACCATGTTTCTCTTTTATTAGATAGGATTATAATCAAAAGAGAAGACATAAGTGGATTGCATGAAATCTATTGGTGATAAATTAGGGAGGCAGGAGAAAGCAAAGCGGGGAAACCTCTGGGATTTGGATGAAAAGGAAAATGATAGTTACATACTTCTTTTACTTATGTGGGTATAGGATAGTTAACAGTCAACAATTAACAAGATAACAATGAGGGGATTTGTGGTCTCTGTTCTGATGTGCTACCTGTGCTTTGAGGGGTCTGGAAAAAAATTACTTTGACATTCCAAAGATATGTTATTGTAGATGCATAAAAATAACAGACAGTCTTAGTTAAGGTGAAAATTGACCTTTGTCATGGAAGAGTCTAGCCTAGGACATGATTACCTACCATATAGTTTTTCTTTAAGAAAGTTTTAATTTCAGACCATCCTTTTGGTTATTTTAGGTTTCTGAGTTTGTAAGGTTGCCAAGCAGGCCTCCCCTGAGCTTAGTATATGGCCCCTTTTCTTCTACACCTGACTGAGAAAAGAATCAGTGAACTTAAAGTTAGGTCCATAGAAATTTTCCAAACTGAAATGCAAAAGGTGTGATACCAAGAGAAAAAAAAAAACATAGCAGAAGAAATATTTGTAGCAATAATAACCAATAATCTTCCCAAATTAATGACAGATACTAAACCACTTATCCAGGAAGCTCTGGAACATCAAGCAGTATAAATACAATTTAAAATAAAAGCAAACAAATAAAAGCCACACCTAGGTATATCATATTCAAATTTCAGAAAATCAAAGGCTAAGAGAAAATCCTGAAAGAATACAGGGTGGAGTGTGGGGGAAACTTAGTTATAGAGAGATAGGCTTCTCATTAGAAACTATGCAAGCAAGAAGAGAGTGGAGTAAAATATTTAAAGTGTTAAAAAAAGTCAATCTAGAATTCTAAATTAGGTGAAATTACCCTTCAAAAGTTAAAGAGAAATAAAAATGACAGTAGTATGGCTATATGGGGGATTACAGGTCTTAAAACCTTCCTGCCATAGGACATCACAAAAGGAAACAAGCCACCAGAAACAAGAGTAAACAACATCCCAGATAACCAGACCCTGGAATACTTCAGATACTGGAATTACCACATGACAGTACAAAATAACTATGTTTAATATGTTTGCAGAAATATAAGAGATTAAAATGCATGTGCAGTGAGAAAAAGGCAATAGGATTTATTCAGAAGATCTGAAAACTAATCATACTAAACTTCTAAAAATGAAAATGTAATAAATGAAATTTAAAAGTCAAGCATGGTTTTAAATTTACAGTTGATTTTGTTAACAGATTGAAAAGCTTCTGTCAGTAAGACCTTACAGTGCTTTCCAGGCAATATACTTAAAAAAACAAACAACAAAAACCCACAATGGTTTTTTAAAGGTTACTAACTGGGGTGAATTTTACATTGCTATGATCCAAGGCACTTGCTTTTGGCTAACAAGTACATTTCTGGAGCAGCTTGCTCTATCTGCATCAGAAAGCAGAGAAAAGAAGCAGGTAAACAGGAAAAAACAAATGTTTTCAGTGGAAGAAAACACAAGAGGATTGAGTCACTGTAAAGGCAAGTGAGGACATTAGTTGTTCATAACATGTACATAGTGAAATAGAAGGAAATATTCAATATTTGCATATGGATTTCCTGATAATTTATACAAAAGAACCACTGATACACATGCATAATATTGTCCTGAAGGAAATGAAAAGAAAACACATCTGAGTTTCACATTTGCAGAGAAAGGGTCTTTACTGGACTGTGGATCCTAATGATTATTTTTGTTTGATTGCCTTCCCATTAGCCCAAAGCTGGGTGATATTAGAAAACTGGAGAGATTTGCTTACTAAAATGTCAGGTTATAAATCCTCATTACTGCAATTGATGGCAGGTTATTGTCAATCAAATTATTCAATTGGGCAATAAAAAATGTCATAATTTTGTTTGTTAGAGGCAACATTGTCTAGAAGGCAATAGTTTCACCCACCTGTACCCTACATTAACAATTAGTTTTTCTTCTTTCATCATCTTCCCCTGGAAGATTTGATCTCCAGAGCCAAAATTACTGACCTTGGCATTTTAAAAAAATACACTTTTATTGATTTTAGAGATGAAGGGAGAGAGAGTTAGAAACATCAATGTTGAGAGAGAATCATTGATTAGCTGCCTTCTGTATGTCCCACACTGGGGACTGAGCCTGCAACCCAGGCTTGTGCCCTGATTGGGAATCGAACTGTCAACCACTGAACCACGCCAGCCAGGCTGACCTTGGCAATTTTGATTGGTATAACCTTCCAGGGCTGCATTTCTAAAAGAATTCTTCTTAACCAGAATGAAGCATTAACTAGCAGACTGCCTAGCAATGTGGCGAACTTATGAACATCTATTATATCAAGATGATATATATCAGTTCATTTAGGAAAGAAAATATTTTAGGGAAAATTAGCTAGCCATTTGAGGGAAAAGTGAAATTAGATCCCTACATAGACAATAAAATATTCAAGATTAATTATAAAGTTTAAAATAAAAGCATTAAATAAACAAACAAATAAAAATTCAGAATAAGATATAGTAGGAGAATGTTTTTATTATTCTTCATAGTAAGCTTTTCTTAGTATGAAACAAAACTAAGTAAAATTTTTAATAGTATTGAAATTTGACTACATAAAATTTTACTTATTTATTATTATTTTTAATTTCTTTATTGATTAAGGTATTACATATGTGTCCTTATTCCCCCATTGCCCCTCCACCCACCCGCTACTCATGCCCTCACCCCCCTGTTGTCTGTATCATAAAATTTTAAATGTCTATGTAGTGAAAGATACCATACACAAAGTTAAGATGATAAATGGAAAATGGAGAAAATATTTGCAAAATATATAGTAGACAAAGCTAATATAGGTAATATGTAATAGCATAGGCTCAGGAATTAGGTTGCATAGGTTCAAATACTAGCTATACCACATTCTAGTCTTTTGACCTTAGGCAAGTTACTTAACACCTCTGGGCCTCAAGTTTCTTCATCTATTAAGTAGAGATAATAAAATCTACTTGAGCTAGCTGAGAGCTATTTTTATGTAAAGGGTCAATTAAATAATAAGAAAAGGATAACCAACCCACTAGATATTCAACATCAATAAATACCTTTTGATCTTATTTTCACCTACTCCCTGGCAGCATTTCAATGTACCAGTCAAACTAGTCCTAGTCAATATTCTTTTTAAAATGGCTTTTTACCTCTTTGTTCCATGCCTTACTGTCACGGCTATCTCAGTCTAAAAATTCTCCATCCAGTCACATAAAAAAAACAACCCATATTTTATTTATTTATTTGTTTGTTTGTTTGTTTGTTTATTTATTTATTGGTTTACTACCCATATTTTAAATCCTAACTCAAATCCTGTCTTCTCTATAGACTGTTTCTGGTTAGTCAGTCAAAATAGCACATTCTTTTTCTCTGAATTTCTAAGGTGCCTATAATACTACTTTCTACATATAATCAAACCTTGTGAAAGCTTTACTTCCTATAGAAATTTGTGAATTTTCACAGGCTAGAATCACATATTCTATTTCAATGTCCTTATTATAGTGCATAGGAGGTATTGTATAAAAATGTTTACTGTGGTTTTTTTGTTTTGTTTTGTTTCCCATAACATTGATCTACTACAGGGCAATCAGTGAGAAAATATATGGAATTCTCACATACATATCTATCCATCACACACACACACAGAGAGAAACATTTCCTAAGCAGCACATACTTTCTTTATTTATTTACACTAAACTATAAATAGGTAAGACTGACTTAACAAAAGAATTGTAATATAACTCTACTGGAAGGATGAGGGTAGGAGAAAAATTACAAATATCTAAATTATAAATAAATCCTCATTTACCATAATAGCAAGTCAACAGATGAAGTAGAACATTATCAAATTAAGAAATAGGCCGAACCGGTTTGGCTCAGTGGATAGAGCGTCAGCCTGCGGACTCAAGGGTCCCAGGTTCGATTCCGGTCAAGGGCATGTACCTTGGTTGCGGGCACATCCCCAGTGGGGGGCGTGCAGGAGGCAGCTAATCGATGTTTCTCTCTCATCGATGTTTCTAACTCTCTATCCCTCTCCCTTCTTCTCTGTAAAAAATCAATAAAATATATTTAAAAAAAAAAAAAAAAGAAAAAAGAAATAGGATTACAAAGTTAGAGGCGCTGCAGTCAGAAGAGCAGAGATGGCTGTGACCAGACTAGGGGCCAGGTGGTTGCAGTGGCCCCCAGGCTGCCAGCTGTGGACCATGTGGCCATGGTGGCCTGTGGCCATGGAGGATCTTGTTCAAGATGGGGTGGCTTCTCCAGCCACTTCTGGAAGTGGGAAATCTAAGGCAAAGAGAATACTTGACTAGCAGGCTCCCTGAAGAGTGAAGGCTGGAACATTGGTCAAGGAAGATCTTATCAAGATTGCCAAGAAGCAAATGATGCTAATACAGAAAGTAAGTCAGGATGTACAGAAGGGAGAAACAAACAGAAATGATCAAATCAAAACCTGTTGCCGGAGGAACGGATGATATTATTAAGATGGACTGCTGTGGCAGGAGCCAGAGACAGGTCCTCCCAGAACCCACGGCTGCCTCGCCTGTCCAAACACCAGGCGATATCCTGGGCCATGTTCCAGACCTTGGCCTTAGCCATGTTTTGAATTTTTAGTCCTATGAGAGGAAGTGCACTGCATGAGAGGAAGTACACTGCCTGCGGACTGGTGGAATATTCTTTTTTCATATCATCATGCACTTTGTGTCTGCCTCCATTGATATGCCTGAAGTGAGCATTCTACACAAGATCACCTACAGTCAACGGCTGCTTATGTTGGACCGATCTAAACACCATCATGTCATGGAGAATCAGTATTGCTCTCTGTGAGGGGTCACTGTGAGCACAAAAGCCAAACACCGGAGCATCTGCAAATGCACCGCTGGCTTTGTCCATCATTGCCAATGGCTCAAAACTGCATCAGGAGCAGGAATTACTGGTGGTTCTTCAGCTCTGTGGCCTCTGCCTGGGTTATTGTGCTTGGTTATCATCCTCTTGTACATTTTAATCCAGCACGCTAACCTGTGGGTGCTCCAATGGAAATGTTGGCAAGCAGAACACGTGGCTGTTGTTCCTGCCATATTTTCACCGAAAGGCCAAGATTGCAGTGCTCTTGATAATCAGGGTGTTTGTGCTGGTGTTCGGCGTCATCTGCCTCCTGTTGATTGAGTGCCTGTTCATCTTCCATCTTTATCTAATGTTGAACAGGATGAGAACGTTTGATTGTGTGACATGGGGCCACAAACAACAGAGGTCAAGAGCCTCATCAAGGAACAAAAATAGGACCCTTCAAATATAAGTATTGCCACAGCAAAGAGGTCACAACCCAATTTGATCTGCACGTAGGTGCCTGGAACTTTGTTCTATCAGCATCGAAGACGCCTTGTGAGGAAAGGATCAAGCCAGCAGGTTCTGTCCTTTAGACCCAACCATTTCTCCAGAGGAAATGAATGACAACCCAGTTTCTCTCCACCTGGAAGGATGCTATCTTCTGTAGTCTTACCTCCAGCTCTGCCCCTTGTCAAGTCTGTGAGCATTACAGTGGTTCAGGAAGACTCCTCCTCACCAAAGGTTGCAAACAATCTCCTTCCTGTGGAGGGAGACAGTGCTGAAAATGAAGGCATAACTTCAGGAGCCAGGGGGCCAGCATTGACCAAGTGCTTCACCCAGGAACCCTTTTCTGAGATTCTGATCCTGGCTGTGGAGTTGGCCATGGAAAACCTGTCACTCCTGAACTCACTGCAAGGCAACAGCCAGAATGTGCCATCTCAGCAGCCCTAGGATGCCCTCCCAGAGGCCCAGGAGGCCCAGATTGTGCCATCTCCCACCATCATCATTGTGAAGGAGCTGGATGAAGAGCAGGCCCTGCAGGAAGTGTGCCCCCTCCAGCCTGACCAGTTTTCAGAATGGAAATAGAAGGTGACTTTGTGCTGGGGCCAGAAGTCTGGCCAGTGGGTCTCCACTTCCCTTGGGACCAGGACCAACCTGTCCTCAGCTTGGAGTTCAGCAACTCCTCTACTGAGTCCATTGAGATAGAAGCATTCATTTCTCCAGAGTCCCCCGTGACTATGATGCCCGATGACCTGAAGCTTGGAAAGAAGACTGGTCCAAGAGCTGTTTAAAATAAAAGAAAATATGTGAACATCTCCAAGATCCATCTTCCCTCTTCTCTTCCCTCCCCCTATACCCCTCTCGCCTCTTTCCCCACCCCTCCACACCCAGACACTAGTGCCCAGAGCCAGAGCCCAAGATCACACTTGGATGGGTCTGCCAGCACAAGCCTCCTGCTCTAAGAGAGCCAAGAAAAGAAGGAAACAGAGTTCCTCCTCTGTTTTTGGCTACATGTGATTTTAATGAATTCAGCATTTACTCAGTTTGGAAGCCATATTTTAACAGACATTATTAGGTTTTTAAACATGTCTGTGCTATTCAAGGAAGGAAGTGAATTCAGAATGAACTCGATACAATGTTTTTAGTCTTGCTTAACATTGGTAAGTTTATGAGTTTAAGTAGCTTTTTAAGGAAACTCTTCACCATTTTCTACAAAATTTAACAGGAAATTATCCTATACTAGAGGCCCGATGCACGAAGATTCATGCAAGAATGGGCCTTCCTTCCCCTGGCTGCCGGCACTGCCTTCGCTCCAGCCAGCCCAGAGCTGCCTTTCTGCCTTTGTTCCAGCCTAGAGCCACCTTTCCACCTTCCTAAGCTGCAGAGAGGCCTGGAGCGGCTGGGGCGGTGCTGAACGCCTGCATTGTTGCCATGGTGTCAATGCAAGCGTCCCGCCCCGCCCCCAGCTGCTCGGCGCCTGCGTATGCAAATTCACCTGCCATCTTTGTTGGGTTAATTTGCATACTCACTCCTGATTGGCTGGTGGGCATCATGAAGGTATGGTCAATTTGCATCTTTCTCTTTTATTAGTGTAGATAATATGCAAATAGACCAAACAGTGGAACAACCGGTCGCTATGACATGCACTGACCACCAGGGGGCAGACGCTCAATACAGGAGCTGCCCCCTAGTGGTCAATGTGCTCTCACAGGGGAGAGCCACTCAGCCAGAAGCCAGGTGAGTGCAGTGGTGGTGGCAGGAGCCTCTCCTGACTGCAAGGCAGCGCTAAGGAGCAGCAAGCTGAGCAGGCAGGCGGTAAGGAGAGAGGATTCCTGGACTGCGAGAGGGATGGAACGGGCCTAAGCCAGCAGACAGACATTCCCTGAGGGGTCCTGGACTAATGGAGAGTGCAGGCCGGGCTGAAGGTCCCCCCCCCCCCCCCCCAGTGCACGAACTTTTGTGCACCAGGCCTCTAGTAAATAAACATTAATTTTAATGGCAATAAAAAATAAGATTACAAACAGTATTCAAGCATGGAGGTAAACACAGGGGATTAAGAAAAATAGTCTAAAAATGGTAGTCTATATGGTAAGGTTTCTCAAATTTTAACCTAAGAATCACAGCTTACTGGGCATCCTCCTCAGAGATCTGAGTCAATAGGCTGCTGGTCCTGGGTTCTAACTTCGAAAGTAGAATTAGGCAAAGGCCATCTGTTTTTCATTATAATTAATTTCATATGTACAGTAGTATTCAAACTTGGCTGCTCATTAGAATCACCAGAGAGCTTTGAAAACTAGTGATGCCTAGATCCCATCCCCAGATGTTGTAATAAAATTTATCTGGGGTATAATCTGTTGTTGGTGGTTTTAACAGCTCTTCAAATGATTTTAATGTGTCTAAGATGGAGGCACACTTTGTAAATATAATTTTCTTTTTAATTATGTGCATAAATTACTTTAATTTTAATATAAAAGTAATTATCTGTATAATGTGCATGGGAGTGGGAAAAATGCAATATTAAAAGTCAAAAGGTGTGGGATTGTGTCTGGTATGATCCTCAACCATGAGCCAGCCTGTGTCCTTGGGGAAGATGCCTAATGTGTATGGGCTTTAGTTTCCTCATATGTAAAACTAGAGGTCCAGTGCACGAAAATTTGTGCACTCGGGGGGTCCCTCAGCCCAGCCTGCACCCTCTCGCAGTCTGGAACCCCACGGGGGATGTCTGCCTGCTGGGTTAGGCCTGTTCCATCCCTCTCGCAGTCCAGGAGCCCTCGCTCCTTACTACCCGCCTGTTTGGCTCACTGCTCCTTAACGCTGCCTCAGAGGTGGGAGAGGCACCTGCCACCATCACTGCGCTCGCCCAGCTTCTGGATGAGTGGCGCTCCCCCTGTGGGAGCGCACTGACCACCAGGGGGCAGCTCCTGCATTGAGCGGCTGCCCTCTGGTGGTCAGTGTGCATCATAGCAGCCGGTGGTTCCGCCGTTCGGCCGATTTGCATATTATCCTTTTATTATATAGGACTAGAGGCCCAGTGCATGAATTCAGGCACTGTGAGGGGCGTGACCTGCGGGGATCGGCCCACTGTGGGAGTGCCACTCATCTAAGTCAGCCGAGCAGCTGTGGACCTGCCCTCTGAGCAGCTGCTCCTGCTGTAGGAGCGTCGCTTATCCCAGTCAGCCGAGTGGTGTCCCCACTATGGGAGATCACTGACCACCAGAGGGAAGCTCCTGCATTGAGCGTCTGCCCCCTGGTGGTCAGTGCGTGTCATAGTGATTGGTCGACCAGTCATTCTGCCATTTGGTCGCTGGGTTTTTCTATATATAGATTAGGATGCTACACTAGTTATTCTCAAATGTTCTTTCCAACTTCACATTTTTGGGGTAATATCTATAATGCCCTGTGTTATCTAAAATAATAAAAGCATAATATGCTAATTAGACCAGCCATCCTTCCGGACGAAGCCAGGGTTGTGAGGGAAGCCTGGGTCCCAGGTGCCTACCGGCAGCCAGAGGGAAGCCCGGGTCCTGGGTGCCTGCTGGTGGCCAGAGGGAAGCCTGGGTCCCAGGTGCCAGAGGGAAGCCGGGGCTGGAAGGTGGGGGAAGGAAGGCCTACTCTTGCACAAATTTCGTGCATCAGGCCTCTAGTAAAATATGGAAGTTTAAAAAATATACGGCAACAAAAAGTTCTTCATATGAGTGTTTATTTTATTTAGGGAACTATATCATACATCTTTTCATTATTTCTTTTTAATTAATATTATTTTCATATAAACATGTCACTTTTCCCCATTATGTATTTATACACTCAGTAAAATCAAAAGTTCACCCTGGGAAATAAAGATGAAAACAGTTGAGATTAATTTATACTTAATGGCAGAGCAGCACATCATTGTCATTTCTCGAAAACATCCTTTGCTAGATTGCATCCAAGATGACAAAATAGCCTATCCTTCTGTTATTGTGAATTATTTTCCCAATAGTGATAAAAGCAGATCCTGATTTTTCTATTGGCCCCAAACCTCTTTCTACAAGCAGCACCTACTTGTATTATGTCTACTCCTGACTAACTTTAAGGGGGCAGTGTGTGGTCATAAATTCAGGCAAAACAAATAATTGATTAGAGTGGTAGCTAAGCTCCACTTATTACTCAAAGGTCTTACCCTGATTATCTTAGAGGCTTAGTATAATTGTGCTGTCAATTCACAATCATGAACACTAACAAAAGGAGATTTGGAGAATAAGGATTGATACAGATGATACAAGGGATTTTAGAGTGACTTTAGAATGCACTACAGAGAGGGAACTTCCAATATGCCTTCATAATTATATTTTTTTTAGAATACTTTTAAGTTAGCTTTCATTTCTTGAATAAATACAGATAATTGGCATTGTAAAGATAGAGAAAGAACCTATTCTGAAACAAACAAACAAACAAAAATCAGCTGCCCATAATTACAGATGGATTATGAAGAGAAAGCTACACAGCTTTTCACAAAAGTACTTATATTCATGTGCACATATGTTTGCCTGTGACTTTGAACTCCTCCCTTGTAAGGAAAGTGTTTGCCCAGATGGAAATCAGAATCTATAGTAATCTAGTGCTGAAACAAAGGTGAATTTCAAAATGAAAGGAGGTTACAGCCATGTGCCATGATTTGGCAGGTAGTTAAAAATGAACTGAGAAGTCACCATCTGGTGGGAGGCATCTTAGGGAAGCAGCCACTTTCTGTTGGACATAAATAGAATGAAAGCTTGTTGAGCTATTTATTCTTAGATGTTTGCCATCATGTTTTGCTCCTTCACTGAAATATAGCCATCTTATGATCTCTCGGTTTTAGAATGGATGTTCTTAGCTAACTCTGAGCTAATCTAATCAATTAATTTATTCTGAGATGTTGTAAGAGTCCCCTCTGTCAGGTAAAACATGAATGTTTTCAGAAGTTTGACCCTTCTTGTCTACCTTACTAAAAACACTAAGAAAATTTCAGGTGAAGTAGGAGAGTAGCTCAGTACCAAAAAGAAGAAAGATTGGTGGGCTAGTAGGATCTTGTTAAGCCCCTGCAATCACAACATCTATGTATAAAGGCTAGAAAATACACACCTACTTTTAGAAAGCAGTTTATATGTGAATGGAGTTTTCAGCTCTGTTTTCTTGAAGAAAAACATTGAGTGTCATTCAAAATCATTTGAAAGAGATTACAAATAATATAAAAAGTAACCTACACAATAAATAATAATGCTAACTCATATTTATAGTTTTTTAAAAGCTATAGTTGACATACAATATTATGTTTCAGGTGTATAACACAGTGATTTGACATTTATATACCTTGGGATGTGATCACCACAAAAAGTCTAGTAATCATCTGTCACGGTACAAAATTATTACAATATTATTGATTATATTCCCTGTGTTGTACATTACATCCCATGACTTAGTTATTTCATAACTGGAAGTTTGTATCTTTTTCCCTTCACTTTTTCATCCATCTCCCACCTTCCATCAGCCTCCCCTCTGACAACCATCATCAGTTTGTTCTCTGTGTTTGAGTCTGTTTCTGTTTTGTTTTATTTGTTCATTTGTTTTGTTATTTTAGATTCCACCTATAAGTAAAATCATATGGTAGGGTATTTGTCTTTATCTGACTTATTTCACTTAGCATAATACCCTCTAGGTCCATCCACATTGTCACAAATAGCAAGATTTCATTCTTTTTTATTGCTGAGTAATATTCCTTTGTGTATGTATATAAACCATATCTTCTTTACCCATTCATCTCTCAA